GGGGATTTGTGTGAGTATTCAAGTGGGAGTGGTAGAGAGGGGGGGGTATGTTGGGAGGGTGTAGGAGGAAGGGGAATGGAGAGAACTTGAGGAGGAGGATGGATATCTGCAAATACTTTAAATGTAGAAGGAGTAGGAACAGAGGAATTGGGGGATGGATGAGGGTGTGGTGTGTTTCCTTGGGTCATCTTTAGGGAGTCTTGGATGTCTTCAAGGGTTTCTTGAGGGGAATTGGGTGAAGAGGACTGAGAAACAAAGAAGTTTTAGGGTACAGGGAAGAGATACTTGAGGAGATGCAGAAATATCTTGTGAAGATGGTGGGGGTGCAGAGTGAAGGGCTGTTTTGGAATAAGTTGAGAGAAAAACCTTGTTGTCTTGCTTCTCGTATGGCCTCATGCAGAGTGAGGCCTAGTTTGAATCTGAGGACTGCTATCACACATTTGAGTTTATAGGCAGGGCAGGTCCTATGAAATACCTTATGGGAGTCTCCACAACTGGCAAATGTACGTGACTGAGCAGGGCAATTTGAACAGGAAGATTGGGTGGTGTGGAGTGGAGTAGTTCTGTGGAGGGGGGGGGGACAACAAGGATGAAGAGTAGTAATAAGGGAAGAGGGGGTAGACATTGAAGAGGACTATGCAGTAGGAGATGGAGAGGAGAATGTTGGGAGAGAGGAAGGGGTGCTCTCTGAAGGTTGAGTAATAACCTGGGTGGTTGTTTTGAAATGGATAGAGTTGTCAATAAGCACTGAGGAGGGGGTATGAGTATCAGGGGTTGGAGCCATGGTCAAAGAAGGGGCAGTGATTGGAAAACCATCATAATCAAATTCAGATAGGCTAGTTGATGAAGAAGCAAGCCTTAATGCCACTGTTAAGGGTAAAGAATCTTCATTATTAGCGATAGTGTGCCTGAATAAAATGGGGAAAAGAAATGGTCTACCCTCAGGGACTCCATAAGGTTGAGTATGGGCAGCTGAAAAATAATCAAAAATCTGACAACCGAAAAAACACATCACATATATATTTTGTTTTCTTAATTTCGTAGGCATTTCTTGAACCTGGAGCAAATTTTACGCTGTATGTTCCTTCTACCCCGTCGTTTGATCGGCTTGATTTGTTTACAAACCTACAGAGGACAACAAACTTTCCAATCTGACCAGAACGTACAGGAAGTAGAGTAGCTTTTGCTGATTTCGACCCTTCTCTGTATAATTACCATTAGCTTTCCAATAGCTTATGTCAAGTCACCTCGAATATTTACCTATTATCTAAGCAAGAGTTTCTTTAAGTAAAATGTATAAGCAACGAATGTATATCATTACCGTCAGAGATATACACAAATACAATTCAGACGTACAGATCCGTGTTGAATATTTGTTTACTTTTATTCAAGGGAGAGTAAAGATAAAGGTATAAGGGGTTATGCGTATAAAAATAGATTAAGGCATTACCAATTATACATAACTGTGCAAATATGAATGTTGAGAAATAGATATGTGTAAAATACAGAATTATCCATATACAAACATTCAAAGATGCATGTATGTGTTTCTTTGTGTGTGAACGTGTATGTGTAGACAAGCATGAATTCATTAATTTAAAGACATATATAAATTATATATATATAAATGGCAGAGTTTAATTTACAAAAAATCTAAAGGGAGATATAATTAGCGGCTCAGAAAGGGAGACAGATGAGAGACATAGAGTTTTACGACATTTATTTTAGTCCTGGTAAAAGGACCGTTTTCTAAAAGTAAAAAGAAAAGTCATTTTCTTTGTTTCTATATTCAAGTAGACACTTAATTATTTTGAATTTACAGTATCTGTCAGATGGATGGCGTTTAAAATAAGCATTCTTTTTATTTCCGCCTCAGCATGTAATTCTAAAATCTCTCTCTCTTTCTATCTGTCTATCTTTCCCTCTATCTGTCTATCTGTTCTATTCTGTCTGTCGTCTGTCTGTCTGTCTGCCTCTCTCTCTCTCTCTCTCTCTCTCTCTTTTTCTTTTTCTCTCTCCCCTTCTCTGTGTATCTGTTTCTTCCTGTCTGTTTATTTGTCTGTCTGTCTGTCTGTCTGTCTGTCTGTCTGTCTGTCTGTCTGTCTGTCTGTCTGTCTCTCTCTCTCTCTCTTCTACCAGTCTCTCTCTCTCCCTCTCTCTCTCTTATATATATATATATATATATTATCTCCCCTTCTCCCCCTCTTTCTCTTTTTCTCCCCTTCTCCCCCCTCTCTCTCTCTTCTCTCTCCCTTCCTCCTCCCTCTCTCCCCCTTACCCCCCCTCTCTCTTTCCCCCTTCTTCTTTCTTTCTCTCTTCTTTCTCTCCCCCCCTTCTCTCTCTCTTCTCTCTTCTCATCTCTCTCTCCTCTCTCTCTTCTCTCTTCTCTCTCTCTCTCTCTCTCTCTCTTCTCTCTCATCTCTCTCTCTCTCTCTCTCTCTCTCTCTCTCTCTCTCTCTCTTCCTCTGCCAAAGAAAAGAAAATATGAATAAATAGATTCAGAAAAAGACTCATAAATGAATTAATAATCTATCAAATAAACAATAAAAAAAACAAGCTTACGTTAAAAAAATATATATCAAAGTGGTGAAAGTATAAATGCTTGAAGCCAAAGAGTGAAAGAAATATAAGCAAACGGTAATAAACGTGATAGCGTTCTTGGGTCAATAAGCCGTTAGCAATAAGCAGTTCGAATGCTTTCGTCACAAGGCTTTTGTTTACATTTCCATTTTCTTAAAATACTTTACCGACTTTATACATTCTTAGGTCAACATTCAAGAAAATACATTAACTCATATACATTTGAATGCGCATACATTTATATACATTCAAGCAGATACAGTTTATTACGCATATAGCTTTATGTTCATATACACATGTGTGCCATCTTGAGAATTATGAAATGAAAAAACCTGTCAGATTTTTTCTTGTTAACCGCTAACTTAAGATGAATGAAATTGTTTCCAAGAATGTGTATGTGAGAGAGAGAAATGATAAGGGGCAGATAGAGAGAGAGAGAGAGAGAGAGAGAGAGA